AGGAGGGAGTGGCCACTCTGATGCTGTAGTCAGCCCCTTGCCCAGGGGCTCTGGGTGGACAGTCACATCAGAGCTGAGGTCGCACTGTGTCCCCTCAAGGAAGCAGGTGATGGACAGGCTAACGCCCACTGCCCACAAGTCCACGCCTGGGAAGAACAGGGGCATGTCCACGTAGCATGCCCGAGAGGCAGGGGCAGAGCCGGGCAGGGCAGATGGGGACCGTGAGCTCCAGAGTGGTCCGGGGACAGGCACCGGCCGTCCCCACCCCACGGTGGCCAGCAGCCCAGGGCGGGAGGGACCTGATGAGGGTGCTGCCCAGGGCCGTGCCAGGCCGAGGGTGCGGGGGGACCCCACGTCCTGCTCCCCCGAGAGCGGCCACTGGCCGAGAAGACGGAGGTGGAGAGTGAGTGTGGAGGGTGGCTGGCTGGGCCCTGCCAATCGGTGAGCGTGGGGGTGCCGGGCTCAGAGGACACCTGTGGGGACTGTCTCAGAGCACGTGGGTGCAGAGGGACCCAGGAAAGAAGGGCTGACTGAGACTGTGCCCATCCCACCTGAGGGGCCTGTGCCTACAGGCTGGCCAGGGCCCTCTCCCCGTCCATGCGGTCAGGGAGCGTGAGCCTGGCCCATAGCTCGGGGCTGCTCCCGTTCTAGTGAGAGGCGGCCTGGCCCAGCCCCGGCCCCCCAGCTACCTTGCTGCCCACAGCACGTTGTCTGCACCCGTCCACTGGAGGCCATGCCCCTCGCTGCAGGCCAGTGCACTGTCTGGTCCCATGCCAGCACCAGAGGCCCTCGACCCCCTCCCGTGCCCCCAGTCCGGGGCCCGGGAGCCTCCTACCAGCCCTGGCCACCCTCCAGCTCTATCGGGGGCGCTGTCTCTCTCCCACCCCCAGCTGGGAGCCTCTCACCAGCCCAGGCCATCCCCCAGCTCTATCGGGGGACACTGTCTCTCTCCCACCCCCAGCTCCACACAGACCAGGGTAGCCCACAGAAAGGCCCAGACCCCTCCAAACCGCCCCTTTCTCCCCAGGACCCCGGCCCACTTCCATCCGAGCTGACAGCGACAGCTCTGTTTTCTTGCCAGCAGGTCTCTGGGTGTCTGGAGGGCCAGGCCCCTCCACGGGCTCACTCCTGCAGTCCCACGGCCTCCACTGTCTCCTGAATCGGGGTCTCTGGGGATATGCAGGGCAGGGCCAGGTGTGCCACCCCTGAGGTCTAACTGGGGCTGCTGCCAACCCTCCCCCAGGGCTCCTCAGCTCCAGGGAGACCAGCCGGGGCAGGACAAGCTAGGCTGGCCCCGCCCATCTGCTGCCTGTGCCCGGTGGGCACAGCCCAGCTCTGCTTCTGGCTCCACGGCAGTGCTGCTGGGGGCAGTACTGCTGGGGGCAGTACGGCTGGACGTCACCGGGCAC